CGCCCCTATTCCACCCCTGCCCCTGTGCCCCTGCTCACCCTCTGCCCAGGCGTGGGAGGAGGTGGCGTCCTGCGGAGCGCGGCTCGGCCCGCGACCCGGGGACTCCCTGCAGGACTCGTGGGTCGTGTCTGTGGGCCGGAGGAAAAGCGCGAGGGACGTAGTGTTAAGTGGAGGTCAGGGGCAGTTCTTCCCTCCCTTCCTGCCCGCTCTGGGCTGGTCACCGAGGCTCCTGAAGGCTCTGCGGTGACCAAGGTCTTAGTCTCTGCCGCGGGTGGTCGTTTGAGGATTAAACGTCCTCGCACACAGTAAGCACTCAGATGTGCCGTTTCTTAGCTGGCGTCTCTGGTGTCACTTGGAAGATATGACTCTGGTCTTAAATCAGTCGGTTCTTGGCACACGCTGCATAGAGTTGCCCTGGGAGAAGCAGCTCGGTTGCCAAAGCCTGCAGAATTCAGTGTCCTGTGATTTGAAGTTTGAAGGTCACATCGGAAACCACAGGTTTTCTCTGCTCTCAGTAGAGGGAATAGTTTATGCGAAGGCTTTAAGCTGGAAAGCTCTTGGCTATTAGGGAGAACTAGAAGATGGACCAGCTTAGCAGAGCAGAGATTTGTGTGGAATGACACTGGAGAGAGGCTGCTTCACTGTAGGGTTTTTGTTTTAATTGCGCGTTGAATTTTATTCTAAGAGCATTGGGAGGCTTTTAAAGGGTTTTTAAGAGGTAAGTAAATGTTGATGTTTCAAAAGTTGACTCTGGCTGTTGTGCGTTAGTGGATTGGAAGGGGATTAGAGTGGGATAGGATTTGTGATTCATTGTGGGGGTTATGTAGGCAATTCTTTTGGAAAGGTTTTATTAAGGGAAGAAAAATAGGGTTGGTGAAGGTTTTGTTTATACTTTTTATTTTGAAATAATTATAGATATATAGGAAGTTGCAAAAAAAAACAGCCCTCTTGTACCCTTCCCCCAATTTATCCCAGTGATAACAGCTTACATAACTATAGTACAACATCAAAACCAGGAAATTGACATTGGTACAATCCACAGACCTTGTTCAGATTTCATCAGTTTTACATGCACTCCGTGTGTGTGTGTGTGTGTGTGTGTTTCCATGCAATTTAATCATATGTGTTAATTTACGTAACTACCACCACAATTAAGAAACAGAAATGTTCCATCAAAACAAAGATATCTCTTGTGTTTCCTACCCCTTTATATTCACATTCCGTCTCTCCAACCTTCCTAAGGCTTGGCAACCAATAATCTATTTTCCCGCTCTATAATTTTGTCATCTTGAGAATGTTATATAAGTGGAATCATACGTATGTAACCTTTTGAGATTGGCTTTTTTCACGCAGTATAATGTCCTGGAGATCTGTCCAAAGTGTTGCCTGTAGTGATAGTGGATTCCTTCTAACGGTGGAATAGTGTTATGTGGTCTGGATTTATCACAGTTTGTTTAACCACTCACCAGTTGAAGGGTCTCTGGGCCGTGTCCAGTTTTTGGCTATTATGAATAAAGCTGCTGTGAACATTTATGTACAGCTGTTGGTATGAACATAAGTTTTCATTTCTCTGGGATAAATGCCCAACAGTGCAGTTGCTAAGACATGTAGTAAGCACATGTTTATTTTTTAAGAAACTGCCATACTCTTTTCCAGAGTGGCTGTGCTGTTTTACATTCCAACCAGCCAGGTGTGAATGATCCAGTTCCTCGTCATTCTCCCCAGCATTTGGTGTCATCACTTTTTTTGTTTTAGCCATTCTGATGGGGTGTAGTGATATCTCATTGTAGTTTTTAATTTGCATTTCCCTAGTAACTAGTGGTATTGAACACCTTTTAATGTGCTTATTTGCCGTCTATGTATCTCTCCTCTTTGATGAAATGTTTGTTCATATCTTTTGCTCATTTTCTAAATGGCTTGTTTGTTTTGAGAGTGTTTTTTTTTTTTTTTGAGAAAGATTGGCCCTAAGCTAACATCTGTTGCCAATCATCCTTTTTCTTTTTTCTCCCCAAAGCCCCAGTATAGTTGTATATAACATAGTTGTAGGTCCTTCTAGTTCTTCTATGTGGGACACTGCCTCAGCATGGCTTGACGAGTGGTGAGTAGGTCTGTGCCCAGGATCCAAACTGGCGAACCCTGGGCTGCTGAAGCGGAACCCGGGAACTTAACCGCTACACCACCAGGCCGGCCCCGAGAGTTCTTAATATGTATTCTAGATGTGAGTCTTTTGTCAGATATGTAGTTTGCAAGTCTTTTCTCCCAATTTGTTGGTTGTCTTCTTATCCTCTTAACAGGGTCTTTTGCAGAGCAAAAGTTTTTAATTTTGATGGAGTCCAATTTATCAATTTTTTTTGTTTTATGGATCGTGCTTTTGATGTCAACTCGTTTCACCTAGCCCTAGATCCCAAAGATTTTCTCCTAAAAGTTTTATAGTGAATATTTGATGATATAAAAAATTTGTTGTTAATTTTTTAGTTAGAATAATGGTATTGTGTGTGTGTAAGAGGCCTTTTAGAAATAACATATTGAAATATTTACAAATGATGTTTAGGATTTACATCAAAATAATATAATATAGGAAGGGGTGAAATAGGTGGGGTGTAGAAGAAGCAGGATTGGCCATGTTCCTGTAAAACCGAGATGTGTCGACCACGAGATCAGTGCTAAAGGTCACCTTTTAAGCTTCTCATTGCAGAGTTAGACTGTGCACGCCCTTTCTAATTTTTCAAATGATTGTGTATTCAGGGTTTGTCATGGCTAAAACTGTGGTTCTGAACCCATTTCTGGACCACTTATTTCCCTATGTTTTGATGTTCTCACTGGCTGTTTCCTTCTCAGCAGAAAAAAAAAATTATACATTCTTGCACACCAAGGCATTAACGACTTAATGGTAGTTTATCCTCAAGAATACTGCACTTGAATTTTAAAAGAATAGATGGTAGAGAAGAGTGTGACGCTTAACACGGAGTAATCGCTCATGCAGCCAGCCTGGGCAGAGTACCGTGCAGACTTATAGCAGCTTGGGTAACTAGCCACCCTGCCTACTGGGCGTAGCTGATGATATGACCCACTGGCAATGTGTGTAACTTTTAAAGGTTTCTTCATTAGTATAAAGCTGAATAGCACAAAGCCCAATAAATATTTGATTTTAATGATAAATTAATAGTTTGTCCATTGATGATGAAAATATGCATGTGAAGTTTGATGAGGTCTGTAAACATGCATTACTTTAAAGGTGACTTTCTCTTAAAGCTCATTTGATGTAGTCATTGTCGGTGGTGGAATTGTGGGGCTTGCCTCTGCCAGAGCACTCATCCTGCGGCATCCAGCACTTTCCATTGGTGTTCTGGAAAAGGAGAAAGATTTAGGTATGTATGCGTGATTTAGGCATGTATGCGTGATTTAGGCATGTATGTGTGATTTAGGCATGTATGTAATCAGTGTTGCTATTTGAGCTTAACCTGAGCACCTGCTCATTTTGTCAGTTCTGCATCATTGATGCCTAATGTTAATGTTAGTGTCTGAGTTTGGTTTCTCTAGAAAGCGGAGCCGGGGACTAGGACTTGGGTGTAGGTGATTTGTTTGAGGGGTTTTCTGAGGAGACAGGAGTGAGAGGATGGGGAGAGTCAACAGGGAAGGAAGAGGATGCATTATGAAGGTTGCTTCTGTGAGCTTGATTCCAATGGGACCTCTGAGGAACTACCTAATGTTTCCCAAGATTGTGCTTATTTATCCATCAGCTTCTGTCTCTACTGGTTGAAGATTGTCCCTAGGGATGTTGAGTTCCCCCAACCCCCAAGCATTAGAAAAGGCCGTGGGCAGAATGCAGGGAGCTATAGTGGGCCCTTGAAGTGGTTTGCTGGTAGCGAGAGGTGAGTTTGTGCACCAAAGTTGTAGCTGAAACCAGAGATGGGCTGGAGGGATTTGACACGGACACCAGGGTTGGCTACTAGAGGAGGCTACCAGTGCTCTCGCTGTAAGAACAAACTCAAGCAGAATTTTAAATAATGTGGTCTCTAATAGCTTCAACTATAAGTTTGTTCCCCCACTTCTTAGGTTTTGTATGAGTCATATCCTTTCTCTTACCCTGTTTCTGTCGTTCTGTAGCTGTTCACCAGACTGGACATAACAGTGGTGTCATACATAGTGGAATTTATTATAAACCTGAATCTCTGAAAGCTAAATTATGTGTGCAAGGCGCAGCCCTCATCTATGAGTACTGTAACCAAAAGGGAATTTCCTACAAGCAATGTGGCAAGGTATGGAATTTTCTAGGGCCTTGTCTTATTTGTAACTAGCATTTTCTCAGGGATGTTTAATGTTGTATTAAAAAAACCTGGTTTTTCTTTCTTTGTGTTTATGTAATTTGCAAAATCTGGACATTTCATATAAATGGAATCATACAGTATGTTGTCCTTTGTGTCTGGCTTCTTTCACTTAGCATAACGTTTTCAAGGTTCATTCATCTTGTAGCATGCATCAGTACTTCATTCCTTTTTATATTGCAGTGTAGAGGTATACCACATTTTGTTTATCCATTTAGCAGTTGATGAATTTGTGTTGTTTCCACTTTTTGGCTATTGTGGATAATGCTGTTGTGGACATTCACGTACAAGTTTTTGTATGGACCTATGTTTTCATTTCTCTCATTTATATAGCTAGGAGTGGAATTGCTGGGTCGTATGGTAACTCCATGTTAACATTTGTGTGTGTGTGTGTGAGGAAGATTAGCCCTGAACTAACATCCGTTGCCAATCGTCCTCTCTTTGCTGAGGAAGGTTGGCCCTGGGTTAACATCTGTGCCCATCTTCCTCTATTTTATACGTGGGATGCCTGACACAGCATGGCTTGATAAGTGGTGCATAGGTCCGCGCCGGGGATCCGAACCCGTGAACCCCGGGCCGCAGAAGCAAAGGGCAGGAACTTAACCACTACACCACCAGGCCGGCCCTCCATGTTAACATTTTGAGGAACTGCCAGACTGTTTTCCAAAGTGCCGCACTATTTTACATTCCCACCAGCAATTAATGGGGATTCCCGCATCTCCACATCCTCACCAGCACCTGTTATTATCTGTCTCTTTTATTTTCTCCAACCTAGTGGGTGTGAAGTGGTATCTCATTGTGGTTTTGATTTGCATTTCCCTAGTAATTAAGGATACTAAGCATCTTTTCATATACTCATTGGCCATTCATTTATCTTTGGAAAAATACCTATACAAATCTTTTGCCCATTTTAAAATTGGGTTATTTGTCTTTTTATTGTTGAGTTGTACATGTTTTTTATGTATTCTGGATATAGTCCCTTATCAGCTATATGATACTTACTAAAGTACCACTAAAATATTAAAATATTTTTTATTTTTAAAATAAAATAGTAGTAATAATGATATTTTAAATGTTAGTAAATATTTTCTCCCATTCTGTAGATTTTCTTTTTTACTTTCTTGATGGTGTCCTTTGAAGAACAGAAGCTTATAATTTTGTTGAAGTCTAGTTTATCTTTTTTTTTCTTTTGTTGCTTGTGCTTTTAGTGTCATATCTAAGAAATCATTGCCTAACCTTAGATCATGAAAATTTACTCCTATGTTTCTTCTAAGAATTTTATTATAGCCTTATCTCTGACATTTAGATCTATGATCACTTTTTTCCCCCCCAAATGAGTTGGTTTAATACTAGGTGGTACAGAATTTGGGGTAGAAGAAAGACTGAAGAGCAGACTTTGGCAGAATTCTGAGCTAGGTTTACTCTGACCTCATGCTAAGGTAGGAATGGCTGAATGAGAAGAACTAAAGGGGAGATGAGCCACTGTATGATTTTTTTTTTACTAAAGTTTATTCTTAAATGCACAACAGGCTCCCAGACAGCTTCATTCTAGCTATAGGTGGCAACAGATGTAATGGCAGGAAGTCCAGATGTTTCAACAGTAATGGAGTTAAGGATCACCATTGCCTCAGGCACAAGGAGCAGCTTACTTTTTGCCCAATTTCTTAGTTCCGATTGTGGTCGCGGGGGCCTTCCCCTTGGCCTTTGCTTTTAGCTCCTCCAGTTTCTTGTGCTGCTCTCTTTGTTCCTGCGTGAATGCCTTATCTTCCTGGTCCATTTCCTCGGCCTGCTTCTTGGGCTGCTTCATTACCACCTTTGCAGCTGGCCTGCCCCCCCTTCCTCAGACTCCGCCACCAGCAGCTGAGCTCCCTGCCCACCCCCGGCACCCGTACCTCCAGGGTGTGATCAGTTTTTAGTTAGTTTTGGTCTATGGTGTGAGGAAGGGGTCCAACTTCATTCTTTTGCATGTGGATATCCAGTTGTCTCAGCACCATTTGTGGACGAGACTATTCTTTCTACATTGTTTTGGCACCTTTATCAAAAATCCGTTGAGCATAAATGTAAGACAGTGTGTTTAGGATTCTATTCCACTGCTGTATATCTATCCTTATGCCAGTACCACACTATCTTGATGACTGTAGCTCTGTTATTTTTTGAAATCAGGAAGTGTGAGTCCTCCAACTTTTTTCTTTTTTGAGATTGTTTTGGCTATTCTGGGTCCCTTGCAATTCCCTATTAATTTTAGGGTCAGTTGTCAGTTTCTCCAAAAAGGCAGCTGGGATTTTGATAGAGATTGTCTTGAATCTGTAGATCAATTTGGGGAGTATGGCCATCTTAACAGTATTAAATGTTGCAAACCATGAACATGGGATGTCTTTCCATTTATTTAGATCTTCTTTAATTTCTTTCAACAATGTTTTTATTTTTCATTGTACAGGTCTTGCACTTCTTTTGTTATATTTGTTCCCTGGTATTTTATTCTTTTTGATACTTTTGTGAAGGAATTGTTTTCTTAATTTCATTTTGGATTATTCATTGCTAATGTATAGAATATGGTTTATTTTTGTATATTGATGCAGCCTTGCTGAACTTATTTCTTAGTCTAATAGTTTTCTGTGTGAATTCCTTAGCATTTTCTATATGCAGGATCATCTCATTTGCAAATAAGATAGTTCAACTTCTTTCTCAATTTGGAGGCCTTTTATATTTTTTTCTTGCCTAGTTTCCCTGGGTAGAAACTCTAATACAATGTTGAATAGAAGTAGTGAAAGTGGACATCTTTGTGTTGTTCCTGATTTTAGAGAGAGAGCATTCAATCTTTCACTGTTAAGTATGATAATAGCTCTGGGTTTTTTGTAGATGCCTTTTATCAGATTGAGGAAGTTCCTTTCTATTCCTAGTTTGTTGAGTGTTTTTTTTTTTTTTTTTTGGTGAGGAAGATTAGCCTTGAGCTAACATCTGTTGCCAATCCTCCTCTTTTTGCTGAGAAAACTGGCCCTGGGCCAACATCCGTGCTCATCTTTCTCCACTTTTTATGGGACACCTGCCACAGCATGGCTTGATAAGCGGTGCATAGGTCCTGCCTGGGATCCGAACCTTTGAACCCCGGGCCACTGAAGCGGAGCCAGCGAACTTAACCACTACGTCACCGGGCTGGCCCCTGTTGAGTATTTTTTTATCATGAAAGGATGTTGGATTTTCTCAAATGCCTTTTCCACTTGTATTGAGGCCATTGTGTAGTTTCTGTCCTTTATTCTGTTAACATGGTGTATTACATTAATTGACTTCTGGATGTTAACTTGATCTTGCAGTCCTACAATAAATCCCACTTGGTCACAGTATATAATCCTTTTTATATGTTGTTGCATTCAGTATACTAGTATTTTGTTCAGGATTTTTGCATCAGTTTATATTGCACTAAATTCATAAGGGATATTGGTCTGTAGTTTTATTTTCTTTTGATATCTTTGTCTGGTTTGGGTATCAGGCTAATACTGGCCTCATAGAATTAGTTAGGAAGTGTTCCCTTCTCTTCTGTTTTTTGGAAGAGTTTATGAAGAATTGGTAATAATTCTTCTTGAAACATTTGGTAGCGTGCATGTGTAAAGCCCTTGGGCCTAAGCTTTTCTTTGTGGGAAATTTTAAAGTTACTAATTCAATCTCTTTACTTGTTATGGGTCTATTCAGATTTTCTTTTTCTTCTTGAGTCAGTTTTAGAAGTTTGTGTCTTTCTAAGAATTTGTCCAATTCATATAGATTATCTAATTTGTTGGCATACTGTGTTCATAGTATGCTCTTTTAAGTCTTCTCCATGTAATTTTTAAAAATAAAAGTTCATTGTTACCATTAAAGATGCTATGAAGATTATTTTTAATGATGTGGGAAAATGGTCCTGACATAGTGTTGAGTGAAACAAGCAAGATATAAAACTGTATTTACAGTTTTTATGGTTGAGTTGTGAGTTTTTTTTTTTTATCCTTTAAGCCAAAGGAACCAGCCAACATCCACTAAACACCTTTGAGAAACATGCCAGGCACCATGGCTGCCTGTAGGATGATTTTGAGCTCTGTAGAGCCTACTTCTTTCTGGAGCCCTGAACACTACTTCATATTCCCTCTTCAGATCAAATCGCATCATTGCTTTTAACCCATCTCAGCTCAGCTCCAGGTATTAACTTACATATTGCTGCTTCCAGGCCACGGTGGTGTCACTGTGACTTAATGACCTGAGTTTATGGCTTTTCTGGTTCCGTCACTTATTTGAGCTTTTGAATGTTCTGCCCCTCCCCCACATCGTTTTTCCCTCAAGTTTACAGTCCTTTTATTTATTTTTTATTTATTTTTTGTTGAGGTATAGTTGACATACAACATTTTATTAGTTTCAGGTATACAACATAATAATTAAATATTTGTATATATTGTGAAATGATCACCACAATAAGTCTAGTTAACATCCATCACCACACATAGTTAGAAAAAAATTTTTCTTTCTGGTGATGAAGGCTTTTAAGATTTCTCTTAGCAACTTTCAAAATATACAATACAGTATTATTAACTACAGTCACCATGCTGTACATTATATCCCCATGACTTATTTATTTTATATTTGGAAGTTTGTGAAGAGTTCTTTATATATTCTGGATACTAGATCCTTATCAGCTGTATGATTTGCAGATATTTTCTTCCATTCAGTGGCTGATCTTTCCACTTTCTTGATAGTGTTGTTTGATTTCACTTTTGTTTTTAAGATTAAATATTTATTGATTTAAATAACCTTTACACCTTGATTAAAAGCATTTCCTCACGGAGTTCTGTTGACTCCTTGCTGTGAAATAGTGGTTTGTGAATTTTAACTGCGAATGTCATCTGTGCTTTCCTTTGCTGGTGGCTGTTAAGTAAGGAAGAAACTACCTCCAGCAGGTACTTTCCCCAGAAATAAATAGAAAAAGAGTCTTGAGTACAGTTGATGAATGTACTGTTTTTTCTTCTGCAACAGAATGCATTAGTAAATACTTTGTAATGTACTTTATTCCAGGAAATAAAATAGATAGTTTTCTGTTAGTGATATCCCATTACACTGAATGTTGGCTATATTTCTGATGTACTGGTATTTCACATTCTTTTATAGAAATAAGAAGGCCATTCTGTTTTTTTCTGTTTTTTAAATGTAAAGACTAAGGAATCTGTGCTCCTCTCCCCTCTGGGACTGAGGCAGTGGTGGTCATAACACTGGCTTATGGCCAAGATACACGTGGCGACTGTGGCGGCAGAAGTGGAAATGGACGCTGCATCTCGCCTTTGGGGAATGTTTGTTTTAATGCAGTTTTCTTAAGATAACTATTTTTGGTAGAGGAGGAAAATGAGGTCATGAAAAAAGGGAGAGGTAAATACATGAAGAAAAACCCAGCTTTTAAAAATCAACCCAATTTGAGTCATACAATAATTTATGATCTTCTATTGGCTTTATCTTTCATAACTGATCATATGTTTACCTCTATACTTGTTCTTTATCTTTTATTTTTTTGAAGCTTATAGTAGCTATTGAACAAGAAGAAATTCCCAGACTTCAGGCCCTATATGAGAGGGGCCTGCAGAATGGTGTCCAGGGCCTGAGGCTGATCCAGCCGGAGGATATAAAAAAGAAGGAGCCATATTGTAGGGTAAGTGATTCACTAACCACATGCTCACGGGGATATTTTCATTTAGGGCTCAATCCTGTGACATGGAGGCTGAGGGTGAGTTTATAGGAGGCAAGAATCATAGAAACAGTTAGATAATCCTGTCACAGAAGCAGTGAGGTGTCAGACACAAGAGGGCATTGCCACAAACTCTGGACACCTGGTTTCTTCTGTCCCCGTGAGAAAATAGCAGGTCTGAAGAATGTAAGCCAGGGCAAGAGGAGGTGTGAGATCATATGGCGTGTTGGGAAAGCCCTGAGTGGTGAGGTGTGGTTGGATCATAGATGGGTGTGTAGGGAGAGATCATGGGTGGGACTGGAAAGGCAGGATTAGGCCTGCATAGAGGGACTAATATTCATACTAATAACTTTGAAGTTTATCCAGTAGGCGTGAGGAGCCACTGAAAATTTTTGAGGAGGGTGGCTACAATATCTGATCTGTATTTTAGGAAGATAAGGCTGGCATGAGTGTGAAGGGTGAGTTATAGAGTATCTTGCTTAAAACATGCTGTGGGGAAAAACAGATCTTTTATTCATGAAGGAGACATGAATAATAATATAACAGTTACTCTGCATGTCAAATTCCCTTGACAGCCTTTCAGAGGCTGTCAGTCCAACCCCCATTCCGCTGACTGTTCCAGTGAGTGGCTGTATCTTGTGTACCCCGTGCCCCACTGTTTTATTGACATTGTACAAGAGCTGGACTCCAAGTACTTGTCTTAGAGAGTGTGACCTTGAACTCAGTGCCAGGCAATGCTTATCAGAAGCTTGCTTTAGAGAAACACTGTTTGTGCCTGAAGGACATGTGGACCATTCATCCCTCTACATCTCTGCACACCATCAGAGAGGCACACCTGCACTGTAGTGTTTTGCTTTCCCCATCCTACTCCTTGACCTCAAATTACTCTCTTTGAATTGTGCTTTGGTTTATGGCGAGAAGGTCATTGTGTCACTCAATGAGCCTTCTACTCTAAGGGTGTGGTTGAGGACATTGGTTCACTGTGTTATACACCGTCTCTTTGAGACCCCTCAGGAGAAATTTCTCTCAGGCCTCAGTTCTAAGAATATTTTGTTCTTCCTGAGCACAATTGGCTTGTTTTTTTTTTTTTTTAAATAATTTTATTTATTCATCCCCCCCCCCCCCCCCCAAAGCCCCAGTGGATAGTTGTATGTCATAGCTGCACATCCTTCTAGTTGCTGTGTGTGGGACACGGCCTCAGCATGGCCGGACAAGCGGTGCGTCGGTGCGCGCCTGGGATCCGAACCCGGGCCGCCAGCAGCGGAGTGCACGCACTTAACCGCTAAGCCACGGGGCCGGCCTGGCTTGTTTTTATCTTATGAACACTGTGAATCATTTAACTGATTCTGTTGCCCTGTTTGCCTGGCTGCAAGGAAGCTCAGAGGCACGTGTGTGCCCGACTCCTGCTGGATATCTGGGGCCTTAAGCATGCTTTTTTATTTTCCTGTACTAACTTCTCTCTTCATTTCTTCTTATCTTTCCACTCTCATTTTCTATCTGCCTTGATTTTTTTGGCACTTTTTATTAAATCATAACTTAAAACAGAAATCATTAATGTACAGCTTGGTGAATTTTCATTAAGTGTGACCAGCACTCATATCGACAAACAGTACATTACTAGCCTCCCAGTATTCTCCTCATGCCCCCTCCTAGTCACTACCTTCCCCTTAAGGGTAACCACTGTCCTGACTCCTTACATCACAGGTTTTTGAGTTTTATTTAAGTGGATCATATAGTCTGTACTCATTTGTATCTGGACTTGTATTCAGTATTCTTTATGAAATTCGTCCATATCTTGCATATAGTTGTAGTCTGTTGTCATTGCTATGTGTCCATTGTATGAACGTAGCATGATTCTTTCCCCTATTGATGGGCATTTGGATAGTTTCTAATTTGGAGATATTCCAAATAGTGCTACTGTGAACATTCTAATACATGTATTTTGGTGAACACATGTACACATTTCTGTTGGGTATATACCTAGAAGGGAAATTGCAGGATCATAATTTATACATATGTTTAGCTTGGCAGAGACTGTCAAAGAGTTTTCCAAAGTGTTTGTCCCAATTTATACTCTCCTGAGCAGTGTATGAGAGTTCCAGTTGCTCCTTATCCTCACCACCAATTTGGTATTGTTTGCTTTCATTTTAGCCATTCTAGTGAGTATGCAGTAGTATAATATTATAGTTTTAATTTACATTTCCCTGGTGACTCTTAAAATTATACACCTTTTCATATGTTTACTGCCCATTTGGATATTTTCTTTTGTGAAGTACCTGTTTAAATCCTTTGCCCATTTTTCTGTTGGGTCTAAATATCTGGTAGAGTAAGTCCCTCAGTTTTATTCTTCAACATTGTCTTGACTATTCTTGGATCTTTGCATTTTCATATACATTTTAGAACAATTTGTTAAATTCCACAAATAACCTGTTGTGATTTTGATTGAGATTGCACTGAATCTGTAGGTCCATTTGGAGACAGTTTACGTCTTTACAATATTGAATCTTCTAATCCATGAACATGATGTATCCCTCCATTTATCTGGATCTTTAATTTGTTGCAAAAATGTATTATAATTTTCAGTGTAGAAGTCTTACATGTCTCTTAGATTTATCTATTTCTAGGTATTTGATAATGTTTGGTACTCTCATAAATGGTATTGTTTTTTAAGGTTTATTTTCTACTTGTATGTTGCTGATGTATGGAATTATAATTGGTTTTTGACCTTGTATCCATCTTGGTTGTTTTAAATTCAGTTATTGATTCTAATAGTTTATAAATTATTTTTGATTTTCTATGTACAGTAATGGTGTCTGCAAATAATAACTATTTTATTTCTTCCTTTCCAATCCATATACTTGACTGGCTCAATGTTTAATGCTGGTATATATTGTTTTCTATGTGTTTCTTGTTTGTTTGTTTGTTTTTACAAACTAAAGACAGATAGAAAAAAAGACAGACAGAAATAGATTTTTTCCCCCTTAAGTTATCTTTAGTTGTACAGTTAAAGTTGGGTCAAAATATCTGATTTTCTTTAAGTTGCAAATAGAATCCAAATAGTGTTGAACGAGTTCTTCCTGCAGAGGTGGTCATAGAGTCTTCAGCTGCAGCAGACCTCACCTTTCCTCTCCCTGGGACTCAGTCCAGATACCCAGTGTGTTCTTGTGGGGTACACTGGGTCTTCTGCTCCCTTTTCCTCTCCCCGTGTATTCCTCTGAGGTGGTGAGCGAATGACTGATCCTTTAAAAAGAAGACACATTCATTGAGTATCTCATTGTGGCTATTGCTTTCAGGCTTTACACAAATGCTATATGGTGCAAGCCAGGGTCGGCCAACTATGGCCTATGGGCCAAATCCTGCCCCTCACCGTTTTTTGTGGCCTATGAGCTAAGAATAGTTTTTACATTTTTAAATGGTTGAAAAAAATTAAAAGAAGAATAATATCTTATGACAGATGAGAATTATATGAAATTCAAATTTCATTGTCCATAAATAAAGTTTTATTGGAATACAGCCACGCGTATTCATTTACGTATTGTCTGTGGCTGCTTTTGCGCCGAACGGCAAAGTCAAGTAGTTGCAACAGAGGTCATAAGCCTCACATAGACAAAAATATTGACTGTCTTTACAGAAAGGATTGCCAACCCCTGGTCTAAACAGTAGGGAGCCATGGAAGGATTTGGGCAGGAGAGGGACACGCAAAATGTGCTAATTTAGCAAAGTTAATCAAGTTCTGGTACACAGAATAGAACTGGATGTGGAAGTAGGAGGCCAAAGCTATTTATAGTTATTTTTGGAAGGCAGCTATGCTCACCACGAATGCCACTTATTTATAGTTATTTTTAGAATATCTGATTTCTATCTGATACTCCTGTGTATCATAGGTCAGTAATTCCCAGACTTCAGGGAATTTTGACATATTAGACTTTATCTCACTATATCCTCTCTTTTTTTCCATAAACTGGAGTCTTACGTAAGGTGAGCAGCAGAATGTGGTGGCTGAGAAGTCAGGCAGACAGAAGTTCAAATCCCACATCTGCCTCTTCAACAGCTGTTGACCTTGAATGGGTTATCATTTTTCTAAGCCTCAGACTCCTCATTTGTAAAATGGAGGTTGTGCTGAGAATTAAATAAAATAATATGTGTAAGGCATCCAGCATATGTTAATTCTCAAGAAGTGGTAGATATTATTATGTGCTTGTTTAAGCAATTCTAGTGAATTTAAATTGGTTTTGTTTGAAATACGTGGGGACTTTTCATGATATCTGTTAAGATAATTAGGGATGCTTAGTTACATGTGTTCTTTTTCCCTGGTTTATATTTCCCCCTTTCCTGATGCTTTGCTTGTAACTCATTATTTTATTCTGTTTATTTCCTTTAAGCCATGTCAGTTTCTCTGTAGAGTGAAATAGGCTATTTAAAAACATTCTAGAGAGATCCTAGGATATTGTAAAAGCAGGGTTGTGAATAACCTAAATAAGAGCTTGTCTTAGTCAGTTTGGGCTGCTATAACCAAGTACCGTAGATTAGATAGCTTATAAATGACAGAAATTTATTTCTCACAGTTCTGGGAACTGGAAGTCTGAGATCAAGGCTCTGGCAGATGTGATGCCTAGTGATGGCCCACTTCCTGGTTGATAGACAGCTGTCTTCTCGCTGTGACCTCACATGGCAGAAGGGGTGAGGGAGCTCTCTGGGGCCTCTTTTGTAAGGGCGCTAATCCCATTCATGAAGGCTCCATCCTCATGACCTAATCACCTCCCAGAAGCCCCACCTCCTAATGCCATTGCATTGGGGGTTAGGTTTCAACATGTGAATTTGGGGGAACACAAATATTCAGTCTGTAGCAGGGCTGGTTGTTTAGACTGATGCCATACTTCAAGGAAAAAAATACTAATATTAAAATGAAGAGAATAGGAGGCTGTACGTATGTGGGAGCAGGAAGTATGTGGGAAATTCTATACCTTCTGCTTAACTTTTCTGTGAACTTAAAACTGCTCTAAAAAATCAAGCCTACTTACAAAAATGAAGAGATTAAACTCATTTCCCCCCTTATCTATACAGTGCTTTACAGAAACTGTTGAGTGCTTCCTGAAAGCCTGTTGCTGTATTATAGCTTTATGTGATTTTGATGGAATTTAGTTGTAAAACTAAGATGTCAAAATCTCACTGATCTGTTCCTGTTGATTACCTTGCCAGTTGAGAATAAAACAATTTATAACCTTCTTCAAAATGGCATGCTAATTTTTAACATGTGTTTCAATTTTTATTTGCTAATGAAAAGCTCTTTCAAATTTTAAGGTTGGTGTCAAAAAAAGAAAGAAAGAAAAGTACATGTGAGCCGCTGACGCCACTGAAGATTTGGTCATGATGTAAAAACAGTATTATTAATTGTGGAGTTTGGAAAACAGGATTATTGGTTTCGTGGTGGTACTGAAATCTGGGGGATTTGGAAGATTCCAGCTAATCAACTGGAAAACAATTGTTGTCTGACATGTATCCTTGTGAGGGGCTTTAAATATAGAAAAAATAAGAAAGGAACCCTATATTCCTTTTTTTGTGTGTGAGGAACGTGAGCCCTGAGCTAACATCCATTGCCAATCCTCCTCTTTTTGCTGAGGAAGACTGGCCCTGGGCTAACATCTGTGCTGATCTCCCTCCACTTGATATGGGACACCACCACAGCATGGCCTGACAAGTGGTGCATTGGTACACGCCCGGGATCCGAACCTGGGCCGCCAGCAGCGGAGCATGCGCACTTAACCGCTACGCTACGGGGCCAGCCCCCCCTATATTCTTTATATCGTGCTTTACTGTTAAAAAAAAAAAAGCTCAACTTTTCACACATCATAAAGCTTAAGGATGAGTCTGGATATTGTCATGTGCACCTGTCCATGTGATACTCACAGGTCTTGGAATGAGGTAGATGAGGCATGAGATAAGATAATCAAATTACATATCTAAACATGTTTTGTGTCTAATAAATGAAGAAGCTAGTTAAGTTACTTTCCCAAGGTCACTCTGCTCCTAGAGAGTTCCCTGCCCCCAGATCTGACTCAGAACTGGTATTTTTTTCTGTTGAATTTGACCAACATTTCCTTCTTTGCTGTGTGCCAAACACTATGTTAGGCACTGCAGATATGAAGGTAAGACATGGTGGTCAACTTGAAGGAAGTTATATGTAGCAGAAGATAGAATTTTAATATAGTGATAAGTATTCTGATAGAACTGATTATCTGTCTTGTACCAATGTGAGGGAGAGCTTTTAGCTTAGTCCAAGAGTTTAGGAAAGCCTTCTCAGAGGTGACCTCCCACTTGAAAGACGAATAAACAGTCTAACTTAGAAAAGAGGTATATCCTGCATTTTTATGAGGCCTCTGCAGAAATGGTCTACTTTCTATAATGCTACATTGTAATTATCAACGTCTAGATGTATTTAGGGATGGCAATATATAGTGGAAAATATAGTCTGGTTATTTCATAAAAGTGTCTTGAGTAAACTCCTCCCTTTTCACCCAACCTCACCACCACTACCTGGAATGGTGGGCAAAATTTCCATGGTACAGGGTCACTTGCTTTTCTTCCAGGCCCTCCAGAAAGAAAAAGTTTATCAGAACAGCTCTAAAGGGCTTCTTGGACGAGATCTCTTTAAGAAGGAGATTAAGTACCCCCAGGGGGAGCATCTTGGAAAATTTTAAACTGCCTCTGTAAACTTGGACTTTGGAGGATAGCTCTTGACAGCTCTCTCTCCGGGCAAATCCTCACTGATTCCTCTGACCTCAGCTGTGCTGATCTGTCTGCCTTTTCTTTTACACTATTGGTCAGCCACACGTTCATCTGTTCCGCTACTCTCCTGACTGACTTCCAACTCTCAGCTTTCCCTGTCCACGTGCCTGGTTCTTTTCCAGCCCCCTGACCTGCCGTGACCTCAGATTTCAAGCTCTGACCTGCTGACCTGGACAGTGCCTGCTGGGGGACGGACACAGCCAGCCTGTCCACCAGCCCCATCCTGGGCCAGGGCGTTGGATGGCTTGGCGGCAGTGACTCTCTCCACCTTCCCTGCATACACATGGAGGTGGGGCACACCGGCATCTCATGAGGAGAGTCCAAGCCAAGACTGGAAAGGGTCAGAGAAGAAGGGAGACCTTTTATGGAAGGTCTAGAGAGGAAAATCTAGCGTGTTGAAAGACAGGCCTCAAAAGTCCATTCATTCAGTAAATATTTGGGTGCCTTCTGTGTGTCAGGCATTGCACTGGGTTACAAGAGTATAAGATGAATAAGGAGGATAGCTGGGATTCCAAAAAACTATTGATATGAAGCACTTTTACTACACGTTCTATCCCTCTGTTATCGTACTTTCCACTTAGTTTTATGCTAGTAAGGACGTTTTTGTGACTAAACTCTTGGTCTTATCCTAAGTTAGCATCCAAGGTTATTGTACCCAAGATACTGTTTATAGGTTGAAGTGGAATCGTACCTATTGACCTGTGGATTTAGGGACTGTCAGGCAATATAAGGCCTTGTGTAAAGGCTTTCGTGTATCCACTGTATTGAAACAGATGGATTGACTTCCCATACTTGGCAAATGCTCTCATATTCTGGAAGTAAGACTGTCGGGAAAATGGTAAAGTTTGCCAAATGTCACTTTCAGTCTGTGAAATACCTCTGGGTGTTTTGTGAGCCTTCATGCTTAGTGTGACCTGACCATTTGGAAGCCTTGGTCAGGATGGGTGGCAAACTCAAAAGCTTTTAAGGGCCAAGCAGGTAAATGTATTGGGGTAGGGGTGGGCAGCGAGAACGAGACTGAGATATTTAAAATAATATTATCAGATATTATTTTAAAACTGTAACAACAGAGCTGTGCTGGCCAAACGAGGACGGCAGCATTTACCGGCCGCACTCAGCTTCTGGTCATTCGTTGTCCTGGGAACCAGGCTGCCCTCTTAAGGGAAATTGGTTGGGAGAGTTGATGTGCTCATATACACAATAAGGCAACAGAAAATGGTGATATTACCAAGGATTCACCAAAATGTAGTCGATACTTAGTGTGTGAAGTTCTACTCTTATCCTCTTCTTCAGAATTAGAAAGGCCAATGCACATTCAACATTTATTCCAAAAAATTAAATAAGTATGGTTATAGATCATTCATCTATAGATCTTGAACATGTCTTTAGTGGCAAAACAACAACAACAACACAACAACAAAAAACCCAGGCTATTAATTTCTCACATTACCTGAAGAGGGATTTTGAATTAACCATGTAAAATCTCCATCAGTATTTGCAGACTCGAAGATGGAGTCTGCAGTCACGTCAGCACTCTGCAGGCCTTGTGAACAGCTCTGGGTTCTCACTGAGTGTGCAGACAGATGATGAACTGCTGGGGAACTTCCATGGGTTTATTTAAAATCTAATTGTTTGGAATTCAAATCAGAATCAGATATGAATCAGAATCAGACATGGTGTGAGGGATGAATAAAACTGAAACACTCATTGTAGCAGTGGGAAGAGCCTGGCAAAATTAGCTCCTCTAAGCAGGAATGTTGTTTCCTGATGATAGAGATTTTCCTGGTTAGCTAGTATTATTTCCTTTATCTGCTAGATGCATTATGTATGTAGTTGTCATCAAATTTAGGCGCTGAATGGAGCAAGCTTTTATTTTTTTTTAAGACTATCAGATTTTTGCCAAGAAAAGATAATACACGTTATCCATCAAAATAAACAGTAAAAAAAATTCAGCCAAAAATAAAATTTATTGAATAGCCTGTCCTCAACGATTTTTAATTGTATTGTCTTGATTTTTTCATAATCCCGTCCCAGGGTCTGATGGCTATTGATTGCCCGTATACTGGCATTGTGGACTATCGGCAGGTGGCTTTGTCATTTGCCCAGGATTTCCAAGAAGCGGGTGGCTCTGTCTTGACCAGTTTTGAAGTAAAAGATATTGAAATGGCTAAAGAAAGCCCTTCAGGAAGTGAAGATGGTAAGCCACCCTTGTCTTTTCTTTTGAATACCTGTGTTGACTTCTAAACAAACTGGGGACTGTTTTTGGCTGGGGTGGCGTTGGCGGGAAGGCCACCAGGAGTTAGGCTAGAGTAGGATGCAGAGCTGGAGGCGGGTGCAGAAGGGACGAGGGAGAGCTGGGACTTCTAGTGAGTCTTGTGCTGATTGGAGACTTCTGACTGGTGCTAAAGCCCGAACTGGTGGAATTAGCCCCCAGACCCTTCCTTCTTCTGTAGGTTAGAGTCAGAACCCTTGGGGATGCTTGTTAAAAATGCAGATTTTGGGGGCCTGCCTTGTGGTGTAGTGGTTAAGTTCGGCGTGCTCCGCTTCAGCGGCCAGGTTTCCAGGTTCGGATCCCAGGCGCAGACCTACACTCCTTGTCAGCCAGGCCATGGCGGCGACCCACAGACAAAATAGAGGAAGATTGGCACAGATGTTAGCTCAGGACAAATCTTCCTCAGCAAAAAAAAAAAAAAAAAAAAACAACCCCAGATTTTGGCATCACCCAGACTTACTGAATCAGACTGTCTGGGGATAGAGCATGGCTCAGCCATTCTGAACACTGCCCCCGCATTGTAGACTGCACTTAGAGTTTGTTTTGTTTTGCTTTGGGGACAGTTTTTTTTTTTTCTTTAAACCAAATGAATTGGTTTAAAATTCATGAATTTTAAATTCGAAGCCTTAAATCTGCTGTTGGGAAATTTGAAGGAAAAAAAAGTAGTGCTTGGTTCATTCTTCCTTGACAGATTTTTAAGGAGATCTTGGCCATTTGACTCATTCTCCCAGTGTCCTTTGAAAATTCTAAGATGATGAGCAAAATTGTTAAATAATTATGGTTGTTATAGGTAGATAGCATAATCAACCAAATTATGTTACAAGTAGATCATATTCTTTACCTGCTGTACGTGCTATATGTATGCTTTAAAGACTTTGAGATCCCATGTGTCTGATCAGGAACTAATTTTATATATAGTCAGTTTATTATTGGAAGTTTTTGTGTGGTGATGACTCTTGCTTCTCTACACAACTAGAATCTGCAAGGACTTAGGGAACCAGCACTTGGACAGTGTCACAGCGTTAATCCTGTGGGAGAATGCACAGATTCATGACGATCTGTTGTATAGCGTGGTTCTAGGACTGTAGTCCAGAGGAGAGCTGGGACTGCCTGGTTGGAGCTGAGGGGGGGTGGTTTATAAGCATAGATTAAATGAATTAAAATAAAAACATGCCAGAGTTTCATATATTGTCAAATATGAGCTAGTTTAATCTTGTTACTTAGTAAAAAGCTACAGAATGAAAAGTGGGTGAAGAAAATCCTTTACATTTGTTTCTAGTGTAATATTTCAAGTAATGTAGGCCTTCTTTTGCGAAAAATAAATCTTTCACTCATTCTTTTTTTTTTGTTAGGGATGACATATCCAATTGTTATAAGGAATACAAAGGTAAAGATTCTTAAGCAAAACTACTTTCATCTACTTTATCTACTTTCATCCCCTCTCTTTTCTTAAAAAGTTGAATTAACTACAGTGCTGTGTTTTATGTCATTGAATGAAATTTGTCTAAGGTAAGAATTATTCTGAGAGAAATTCTCTGAGAGAACGTAACTGCTTTCATTCTTAGGGTTTCAGCTTGGGAATGACTTCATAAAGTGATTGTGCCAGCAAAGAACAGGACTATAAGCACTTGGAGTGTTTAATTTTAAGGCAAAACTGGTAGATACTTTATTGCTCTGCCTACATATTTCCATTAACGTATTAACTCTCTACTAATGAGAAGACTTTGAGGGGACAGGCTGTGCATAGGGAGATGGACTGCTTTCCTTCATCCTCACTTGGTCTAAAACAAGAACCATGGAATAGAAGTATTGCATTTGCTGTGTGTTCACTGAGGGATCAGAGTTCAGTCAGGGGAGCAGAGTCATTAACGAGCATTGTAGGATTTATTATGGGAATTCGGCCTTACACAATTGTGCGAGGATCTGGGAAAGCGCAAGGCAGAAGGAGAATTGGCAGATCAGCGGCGTCTCCAGCCAGTCTGAGAACCAGGTGTGTCCAGCTGCTGAAGTGGACTGCAAATGGGAAGCTCGTCTCGGGGAGGAGGAGATCTGGGGGAGCTCTTGCGTCTGTGTCTACACCCATGTAGTGGGCTGGGGCAATGCTTGGTCAGTAGGGTCAGTAGTTGGGAAGCAGAGCTGGAAATGGAGCTGTAATTCACTTGGCAGTGGATGTTTGTCACCACAGTGGACTGGAATGACGTTCAGAGAACATTGGCTGCTGCTTCACTTCTGCCTGCCATATCATATCCAGGTCCTGTCTGGGTCAGCTTCAGGTTGGAACGATACAGGGGAGGGGATTCTGTCAAGCATAGTTTGCAGCTTAAGCACATTGACAGTATAAACACCACAGCCAGTCCCTTTTCAACTTGTCTTCCATTCATACCTCTTATAGTAACCACATTTAACTTCCAAACGAAGACAGTAGTAAAATTATGCTTCCACCTACAACATGCAGCTATTTTTCATACCACTGAGGACATGCTAACTCTCCAAAAAGGATACAAAGTCCACTTCATCCATCTTTGGGTGATGTTCATTTCTTTTCTAGCTGAGTCACGCTCCCCATTTGAGATCCTATAACTTAGATACTGAGATATAAGGTCAACCACTACTTAAGCATCTTATATTAGATCAGTAGTTCTCAACTGGAGGCAGTTTTGCCACCCAGGAGACATTTGGCAATGTCTGGAGACATTTTTAGTTGTCACTACTGGTGGAGAGGGGCAGTGCTACTGGCATTTAGTGGGGAGAGGCCAGAGATGCTACTAAACATCCTACAATATGAGGGACAGGCCCCCACAACACAGCGGTATCTGGCCCCACATGTCAATAGTACTGAAGTTGAGAAAGCCTGTGTTAGATAATGGGGAAATGGTAGAGACGGATTCATTAGTCTTCTCTGGCTGCCATAACAGAATACCACAGACTGGGTGGCTTAAACAACAGAAATTTATTTTTTCACAGTTCTGGAGGCCACAAGTCTAAGATCAAGGTATCATCAGGGTTGGTTTCTGGTGAGATCTCTCTTCTTGGCTTGTCGATGGGCACCTTCTCCCTGTGTCCTCACGTGGCCTCTTCACTGTGCATGCACATGTGCAGAGAGAGAGAGCAATCTCTGGTGTCTCTTCCTCTTATAAGAACACCAGTCCTATCAGATTAGGCTCTACTCTTGTGACCTCATTTAACCTTAATTACCTCCCTAAAGGCTCTGTCTCTAAATATAGTCACATTGGAAATTAGGGCTTCAACATATGAGTTGGGGTGGGGAGGACACAATTCAGTCTTTAACAGTGAGGATAAAGAAAGAATTGGGTAATATAGAGACAAATATATTTTTTTCAAAGTAAAGAAGAAATACTCATAACTACTACATTCCTCATTTCTGTCACCAATCATGTGGTCATAGCTGATGTTTATAATTTCCTCCTTCCACTACCCATTCCATAGTCCCTTAGCCCTTGGCAGTCATCTCAGCTGGCCATGGTTCCTGGTTTGGTGGGGTGACTGAAACTTTCATTCCTGAAGTGTCTGTGCCATTAGCAGCCCTGGCCTGTCTTGCGTTGTGGTGGTTTCCATTAACTTTTATAACAATACATGGAGATTCTAAGAGATACCCCAGGAGATCTGTATTCCAGACATACTCCACTTTATCATCCCCAAGCCCTCTGTGTGGTGGCAACTCTATTTCTCCCTGGGAGTTAGCGTCATGTACCCTTTTCAATACAGAATCCCCTCTGTCTGTTGATTCACTGGCACGAGAAACCCAAAGTAGCCAGGTGAGCACTGTCAAATTCTAGCTTAATGGAACCATTGCTTATTCTCTGAAAGAAGCATTTTTTTCCCTTGGGAACTTAGATTTCTAGAACATCAGAGCCCAAAGTTGTGTGGATAGGAGGCAAAAATTTCACTAGTAGATTATTGTAATAGTAAGGAATTACTCCCATTTCTACCTCTTGATTTCCAGACCTGGGAAACCTGGCTGTGGGAGAAACAATACCATGTGTTAGTCACTGCTTTAGAGGGTAGAGATCATCCTGGAAGACACTGCCCCAGCGCTGCTAGGTGCTGCCAGCCAGCTAGTGCTGCTGTTGAATCTTCAGAAGCCCATTCCACTTTCTGTTGCCCATTGGCTTCAGGATGATGGGGAAAATGGTAAAATCAGTAAATTCCATAGGCATGAGCCTATTGTTATTCTTCATTTGCTATAAAATAAGTTCACTGATTAGAATTAATGCTTCTGGGTAAAATACCACAATGGTGAATAAGGCATCCTGTAAGTTCACAGACGGTGGTTTCTGCAGAAGCATCGTGGGCGGAGAAGACTAATCTATATCCAGAGCAAGGGTGTATTCCATTGAGGACTAAGTGCTGCCTTTTTTTTGATTGAAGTGGTTCAGGGACCATATCAGTGGCTTTGTTGACCTCTGCTGTTGGCAGATTGAGCATTCAGTAGGGCTGTGGACAGATCAGCCTTGATGGGTAAGTCTGTGTTGCTGAGCCCAAGCATCACCTCCGTCCTTGCCACCATAACCATTTAGTTCATGAAGCCATTGGGTAAGGACAGGGATACCTGGGGAAGGGGCTAACTAACGTCCACAGGGCAGGTCATCTCGTCTACTGATTGTTAAAATCTTCCTCGGCCGAGTTGACTCCTCACTGAGCATTCGTATCAGTGAGCATTCATATGGAACTCAAATATCTTCACCCTCTGAGCCTGTTTGGAGAGGTCTGTTCACATACCTCTTCTCCAGAGCTCCTTTTTCTGACCATCCGGCCAACTGTTAGTCCCGTTAGCACAGGAAGCAGTGTAGATCATACTTGTAGCCATCCCTCCTCCCAGGGGAGATAACAACCAGGTGTGGTGTTCAAAGTTCTGCCCCCTGGGAAGATTTTCCTTCCCCACACTCCTTCAGGGCCACGCCTGAGTGGGGCTCTGGCGCTGTTCACTGTCGAGCGGTGCTGAACCATTTGTAAACCAGGCCTGTATTTTTTCTTCCTTGATCAACTGATCAAAGAGAACTTCCATGGGGCCACAGGGACAGGTTGAGAGGGAGGAGGTAATTTAGCAGGAGCAGGGGACATGGGAATTGGAGCCACTTGCCTCTGCAACTTATGTGTGCCTGCAGGACCATACAACCCTGAGCTTGTATAGTCTACTTCCTCTTGATGACAGAGTGCTGCTTACACACCCAATTTTGTGGCTTGGTGAGTCAGACAACACCCAGTTAATAATGGGTAGTTCACGTGGTAACTTGGTGACCTGTGGTCAAGTGTTGAGTCAAAGCCAGAAGCACTTTCTCAAAAGGAGGATAGTTATCTGCAGAGGATGGTATGACTTTCCTCCAAAATCCTAAAGTTCTGTGTGCTGTGACTCGCCTATAGGGACCTACCAGTTTCCATAAAACATCGCTATCTGCCACAGACGCTTCGATTACCATCAGATCTGCTGGGTCATGTGGCCCAAGTGGCAGAGCAACCAGGGTCTCCATTCAAAGAGGGATTGAAAGTCTGTATCTGCCCCTGCCCTCATCCAAGGGACATTTTCACTGGAGTGTGGCATCATGTGATGGAGGATGTGCAGGGCCCGTGGGCACCAGTGAATGTGCATTTCACCCACAGTTACTGTGGATGTTGCCTTTTATTTTGGCATTCTCCTTTAGTCCAGTTACATAATAGAATTAAAAATTTTGAGTCAACTTATCAAGTTGAACATCTGTGCTTTTATGATAGGTTAAGAGAAAAGGAATTTTTAAAATAAACTTTTGGGGAGAGAGGATTTGCAAACTAAAGATTTACAGATTGTTGGGCCGGCCCCGTGGCTTAGCGGTTAAGTGTGCACGCTCTGCTACTGGTGGCCTGGGTTTGGATCCCGGGCACGCACTGATGCTTCTCCAGCCATGCTGAGGCCGCGTCCCACATACAGCAACTAGAAGGATGTGCAACTATGACATACAACTATCTACTGGGGCTTTGGGGAAAAAAAGGAGGAGGACTAGCCGTGGATGTTAGCTCAGAGCCGGTCTTCCTCAGCAAAAAGAGGAGGATTAGCATGGATGTTAGCTCAGGGCTGATCTTCCTCAAACACACAAAAAAATTTACAGATTGCATGTGGGGAAAATGTCTGTTTTACTTATGAAATAGCAATAGAGATCTATAGTTTATTTTTTTAAAGAAATTTATGTTTGAACAAATGTTAAAATCATTCAATATTTACCTAAATTTCCATTGGATGTGAAATTAATGTGTTAGTGAATTTAATTATTATTTCATGGATAGCATAAAATGATTTGAGACCTATCGCAGTTTTTAATCATTTCTTTGGAACTGTTCCTTGAGTCTTTTAAAGAGAACTTCTAGGTTATTGCATGCTGGTACCATTCTACAAATTATCTTATCTTTACATTTGTCATAAGGCTCATCTACATTTTATGTTCCAAGAACGAAAGAATTGCTGACCTTTCAAGTAGGAACTAGTAGATTTATATCACATAAAAATATTTCTGGTACTTCTGGTATATAACTCTAGATGGACAGGAAAGATATTAACCTATTTAGAAGAAGGCATTTTTTGTTTTTGTTGACGTACCCCTTTTGACTTCAAGGGTCTTAAAACTATCATGGTTTAGTCTAGCTAATTTGAATTCACTACAAAGAAGTTTCATCTCATTTTTGTCAAAAGTGTGACCTGTATATTTCTTGAAAAGTGGCTTACCTTTGTAGCTGGGCAAAAATAGGATGCATACAGAGATAGAAGAAGGCTGAATCAGTAGGGGCTGGAAAGAAAGAGTGTTGAGAGAGGTGAGAACTCTTAGGCTTCAGAAACAGGTCTGGGAAGGAAATCTAGGGACAAGAAATTACCCGGAGCAAGGAGGTGCTAGTGTTTACCCCATCAGAAGTAAAGAGATGAGAATGAGAGGGGGGGTGTAAATCAGAGTTAAATGAAATTGTTCAGGAAATAGGGTGAGAAATTGGCTAACCCTGGCAGGGTAAAGCTAAAAATATGCAGATGATAATCACAAAATAAAATTTATGGGAAAATACAACAGCCTAAGATTAGCAATCTCTTAGTGGTGAAAGCAAACCTTGACTGCAGAGTGCATTCTCGGTAAATGTGGACTGAATGCATGAGGTTTCGAAAGCAGCCTCAGTTTGCAAAGTGGATCTTGATCAGGACGAGGAAAGTGGTTCGTGAGTGGGTTACAGCTGGAATTGAGCAAGGTTATTGAGTGTGAAGCAAGCTGAGAGTAGCAGGATAATCACTGACAGGTAAGACAGGAGAAGCTCTCTGAAAGACAGAGGAGGCCAGATGGGTGGGGGCCATCTAATGAAGTTTGCTTCTTCATGCAGCAGATGGTTAGGAAGTTCCGTGTTAGGTCTTAGTAAAACAGGTGTGTGTGTGTGGCTTAAGTATCCTGTCCTCGCCAAGTCAACCATTGTATGTCTAATTTAAACTACAGAATTCAAGGTGACATCCCCTTTCAGGCCACTCCCCTAAGTTTCTAGCTGTCACCTGAATGCTGAAGAGCTTATTTTGCTTATACTTGTATTTAATTTCCTCTTTTAAAAGTAATAAAATGATAAAAAGTCCATTTCTGTACCCTTACTGTCTTTTCCATCATCTGTTGTTCCCTCTTGACCTGTTCTCCTCTCTACTTCCTACAGTTCATGTTCTGTTCTTCTGCACTAGGGAGAGGAGGTTCGGTGTCAGTACGTTGTGACATGTGCAGGACTTTACTCAGACCGAATTTCAGAGTTGAGTGGCTGCAATCCTGATCCTCAAATTGTACCGTTCCGGGGAGATTACCTTGTCTTGAAGCCAGAAAAACGCTATCTTGTGAAAGGAAACATTTATCCGGTAGGTAATGATGCTTCTGCCTTCTCACTCTTCTCAAGATGGTTGTGGGTGAAAAAGGAATGAAGCAAAAACTTTTACCTGGGTCAGAAGTAAGAGATGTTTTGAAGGGCTTTTCGTGCAAGCATTTCACCTGTGTCTGTTGTGGTTAAATCCCTAAGCCTTTATTCTGATATCACAGTCATTAAATTATAGTTAATTGCCTGCAAGTACATGTCTCCAGAAGGCATGAGTGTGCCGTGGGAAGAGCTATCAAGAAAGACCCGCTTTTTCCTCCTGTCTGGTGGAGGGAGCACCCCTAAGCGGACTTTCCCTTCCAGCGTGCCCAGATCCCCAGCCTCTTTCTCAGTTCACTCTCTGTAGGTGCAGAAAAGGGGATGTGGCCACTCGGTAGTTTCCTGGTGTAGAAGACAGGGCCATTTAAGTGAAGAATTCTTTCTTGTGTCTGGAACTGCTAGGCTGAATCTGATGAAATTGCCAATGTTCAGCTATTTGTTTTTGACCTTGCCAAAACATCCATTTCCTCTGCTTCAACCTAATACATTCCCACTTTACAAAAGCCTGTGCTATGAATGTGTGTTTTTTTCTGTCAAGTCTGATTTTTTGCCAGCCACATACATCCCTAGTTGGGCGGGGGTCAGGGTGGAGGGGGGCAGAATAACCTGAAATAGGACAGTTCTTTTTTTCTTCTTCTTCTTTACCCAGAAAGAGGAATAGATGGGACAGCGTGTTCAGTGTGAATAGCATCAGCGTTTCCTGTGTGGCATTTCTAGGCAGAAGCGTGTAAACAGAGAAGTACAGATCAGAAGTAATGCAGATTAAATGCATGGGAAGAAAGTGTTTTATATTACCAGTGAGTGTTTGCATGTGTCATAAAATGCAGCATGACAGGGGGCTCATAGTCGTTTGCTGTGTTAAATCCGTAGGTTCCAGATAGCCGGTTTCCTTTCCTGGGAGTTCACTTCACACCGAGGATGGATGGCAGTGTTTGGCTAGGGCCCAATGCAGTGCTGGCCTTTAAGCGAGAGGGCTACAGACCCTTTGACTTCAGTGCCAGAGATGTTATGGATGTCATTGTCAAGAGGTAACTTTATTTCCTAAAAAAACGATTTTATGTGCTTATATTTTTAATATGGGAAATTTTGTCTTTCTTGATATTCTATTCAGTAAATCCTCATATTTGTGATTGGTATATTGATATTTTTATTAATCCAAATTAAGAGTTTTGTGGAATAAGCATAACATTTTAGCTACTTCAGGAACATTCTGATGAGCCAGGGTGATGTCTTGGTTAAAAAGAACAAGACCAAGAGCCAGTCACACATCTGACAATCCAAATCTTGTTTTGCTAACCTTCTAGTTGAGTTTGGGGAAAAAAAGAAAGAAATTTCTCTCAAAATCAGTAGATGGCTTACTTTGATAAGGTCATTTCAAGCTAGTCACTATCATTTTGAAAACTACTGGAGAAATTGCTGGTAACCAAAATTGTTTCCTTTTGTGGAAAACTAACAACATTGTTGTGTGGACCTGGGATGTAGATTCTTTGCTAATGTAAGAATTAGGTCGACCAGGTGTTTTGTCTGGTCTTGTCAGCAGTGTGGCTCTCCAGAGGGTTTCACATCAAAATCTCTAGAAAGCCTTTTAAGCTATGCTTGAGTTTCACCCTGCACAGATTCTGAAACAGAAGGTTTAGGCTGGGGCTTCCCAGCGTGTGTGCTTGTGAAGATACCGAGGCACACAGGCTCCGCAGGGTCCCCTGCAGAATCGCCACTGGAGTACCTGGCCTCTGCTGACTAAAGAAAAGTAGAGTAAATGTCCTCCTTGTTTAATGCCCCGCTTCACAGATCGGTCACTGCCTTTTAAGTGTGTTCTGAAAGCACATAACATTTGCACTAGAAAGCCTTGCTGTTGGCAGGTTTTACAGAATCCTACTTTGAAACTAGCATTCCCTGGGAAGTTGAGTTTGAAAGGTGTTTAGCTTTGGAGTTTGGAAAGTATTCCTTTGCTGAAGTTTCCTTATATTGGCCAAAAGTTGATTTTCTTTTAATATGTGGTTTTTCTGACTTCGCCTAGATTTCTGTGATGCCACCCCAAAAAAAAAAAAAATCTAATAGTTGTAAAGGTGTTTTGTAGTAGTAAAGAATTCCTCTCTCTCATAAAGATTTTATTTTCTTTGCTTTCAGTGGCTTGATTAAACTGGTGTTCCAGAATTTCTCTTATGGAGTTAATGAGATGTACAAAGCCCTTTTTCTCAGTGCAACAGTGAAGCACCTTCAAAAGTTTATCCCTGAAATTACTATCAGTGACATACATAGGTAAGGAGAAGCTGTGAGGACTGTAGATCCAGTCAGGACTGGGGTGAACTTGGAAGGGGGTCTGACGTCCAGTCAGTGTGTCCTCTGCCTTTTGTGTGCTCTCCCTTCCCAGCACGTTCCCAGGTTCCCTCTGCAGTGCATGCGTTGGGTGTTGCTTCGTCGTGGCCCTTAGTGCTTTCATTAGGCCCATTTCTGATGACCTAGACTGCCTTACAGCATCCACTGAGGCCTCCACTGCCGCTGGGTTGTGATGCCACCTGCGCCTTTGTGTCTAACTGTCATTCATGATAAAAACATCTTGCCTGAAAGTTTGTCTGATCTCCCTGGCCTCTTAGAGTTGTGATTTTAAAGAGTGATGTTGACCTCAATTCTGTATGAGATCATTGATTACCATGTTAACTAATTAGGTAGTAAACACATTACAACATTATATTTTGATTGATTGTTAAAACCTTTTAGAAACACACTCCTATACCTGGCCTTATCTTGCCTTACCTTCTCTTGCCTCCTCTCTGCCTCTTTTGTTCTTCTGTGGGTCCTCCTGCATTCAGGGGCTCTACTTGCAGGACAGAATGGGAAGTGGTGCGGCAACAGTCAGTCTAAGTCCTCGCTCCAGGTGTGTGGGGCAGAGGAAGGATTACTTGCAAACACTTTTTTTCTTAAAGATAAAGCTTTCCGGATGTGATCTGTAGATTGTCTAAATACCACCCAAGCCTACTTTCTTTTCTCTTTGGTGATATTTTTAGGGTATTCACCTTTTTCCCGAACAAGCCATTTGTTGGGCCCAATCAGCAGTGTACTTTGAGGTACTCTCCCCCTGTGATCTCCAGAGTGCTGAGTGTCTGTCTCCTAAGGAACAGCTGCCGAGCTTGCCTGGTGTGAAGTGTCAGCAGCTCGGCTCTGTGTCTGGGAAGAGAGCAGTGGTCATATCAGCTGTCTCCCTTAGGGGAGCGTCCTGGGCTGAATCTGACTGTAGCATGTTATTCTCAGAACAGCCTCTTTGAATTCTTAGAACTATTGAAACCCAGCTAATGTTTTTATTCTTCTCTCTCTCACCCCTCTACTCACCTTCTGAAATGGAAGGGATAAAAATATCTAGGCTTTATTTTCTTTCATTCACCTATAAATAAAGGTTTTTATGTTTTCAGTGTCTGCTTTTATATCTGAAAATAGATTGGACAAATCTGGTGTCTGTTACTGCTACTAGTCCTTGGAAACACAATAGGTGGGCACGGTGAATTCTGTGTATAAACAGTTGCAGTGAATTCATTACCTGTGTTTGATTACCATCCTTTTGTAGCTGCCAAGGAAGACTCTTTAGACCAGTGGATTTCTTATGGTAGAACTGGACTTGGGGCTTGTGGGTTTTGGTGAACACGCCTGTCTCTGGTGTGAGGGTGTGGATTTCAGTTACCAGTGCCATTAGCATGTAGGAGAAGAGGGCACACAGCACTGTGGGCAGGTGCATTTGGGGACACATTCAACCCAGTCACAGGTGAGTGTCTCTGGGATAGAAGCGGAGCACGTTCATAATTCATTTACCCCTTCCCATGATTCCTGTAGCTCTTAGAGGAAGGAAATTATCAGCGATAAAAAGGAAGGTGTAGGGGCCGGGCCCATGGCTTAGCGGTTTTGTGCGCGTGCTCTGCTGCTGGCGGCCCGGGTTCGGATCCCGGGCGTGCACCGACGCACCGCTTCTCTGGCCATGCTGAGGCCACGTCCCACAAACAGCAACTAGAAGGATGTGCAGCTATGACATACAACTATCTACTGGGGCTTTGGGGGAATAAATAAATAAATAAAAATTAAAAAAAAAAAAGGAAGTTGTAGGAGATATGTTTGATACCATTTATGTAAGTTTAAACAATACCATATACTGTCTATGGATTGCACATGTAATATGATAAAACCAACGAGCATGGGAGAGGTGAACACTAATTGAGGAGAGTGGTTACCTCTGGGAGAGAACAGAATGGGATCCAGAGAGTTCCACAGGGGTCTTCCGTCATATCTGTGATGCTTTATTTCTTAAGCGGTTTGGTAAGAAAATAGGCATTCATTGTGTTATTCTCTGTACCTTGTTGTATGCATGAAATACTAAATCATAATAATAAAAAGTAAGATCAGTAGACTCTCCCACAGTTTGAATCCCGAGTCCTGCCTCCTTGCAGCCCAGTGTAGTAATACCATCGATGCTCTGGTGTTAATGTCCAGGCAGAAGCATATTGAGCAGTTCTAGAGAGTAAAAGAGTGTTAGCTCAGGACGGTGTCCTTACATTGCAGGAACCACCAAAGGGCACCCAGCTTGACTACTCCTTGCCTGGCCAGAGCATCTTGGGCAGTAACTCCTTGGTGAACATTAGACTGGGATGTAAAGTTATAACCTGTCAAATGTACACGTTGTACAGACTTCTCATTGTTAAATGATAACCTCTAAGGTTCTTGATTTTAGCTCTAAAGTCCTTTAATTTGTTCTGTGAAATAATTTGATATGATAATCTAACAGCAGTTTTTTATCTGTTAGCCTTGTAAGGATGTAAAAGAGTGGGACACATATGCCAAGGTCCCCTCTTTTTCCACGTTTCATTTTGAAAAATGTCTTATTTGGTGAATTCTAGAGTAAATTTTCAGGCAAGATGTTTTCATCGTGAGTGACAGCTGGAGACTGAGCTGTGTCACTGTGGAATGCAAAGGTGAAAGCCAAGCCCTCCTGCAGCAAGGTGACCTAGGTCGAGGTTGCTCAGTCTTGGCACTGTTGACATTTTGGGCCAAATGCTGCTTCGTTGTGGGAGACTGTCCAGGTCACTGGAGGATGTTGAGCAGCATCCCTGGCCTCTTCCCACTAGATGCCAGCCATACTCCCCTGGTTATGACAACTAAAAAAGTCTCCAGACATTGCCAAATGTCCTCTAGGGGGCAAAATCTCCCTTGGTTGAGAACCACTAGTCTAGAGAATTTGGTAACCCTCACACTGCAAAACTGCGTCTGGAGAAAATATAATAAAAATCCTTTGAAATAAATACAACTGGGAGTGCAAGAAAGTCAGCAGCATCCCAGGAGCAAACACCAAGAGGAAACGGAAAACCCGAGTACTAAGAGGAATTGGGGCTGCTGCTGTCCTGGAGGAGTAGGGAGGGCTTGCTGATTTTGATATAAATACAACTGAGTTTTTAATTGAGATGTGATTTACGTATAATAAAATATGCAGATCTTAAGAGCTCAGTGAATTTTGGCAATTGTACAAACTCGTGTATCCACCACACAAAACAAGATATAAAACATTAGGAACTTATATTTTAATTGTCACTAAAGTGCTGGAAAGGAGGCCTTGGGTCTGAAAAAGGTGGAAAGTTGGAACTGAGACCCCTGTGTAAGGCCAGGGACTCTTGAAGGGCTACACCCTCAGTGAAAAGGAAGTCTAGAAAAAAAATTCCCCTTTGCACCAGGAAGTGTTAAGGAATTTCATCTGTCCTGGTCTTGTGGGGTGAGTGGAATCTCCTAAGAATCTAGAACCCTGAGCCTGCCCTCACAAGTGCTTGGAGTTTGAACTTATGCCACCAGCATGATCTAGGAACCTTAACCTGAGAAATTAAGTTAAAAAGTAGATCCAGACTTGTTTGGATCCTGCTTCAAACTAATCATTTCTCCCTCTCTCATTTTAAACAGGTCAGAGAGAGAGAGTGAAAATCAGGGTAATTTGGCCACAGACTGAATATTGTTGATACTAAGCAATTATTAGTTTTGTATTATTATTATTTTTAAGAATCCTTTGAAAAGAAATATACATTGAAGTGAAATGATATGCCATCTGGGGTTTGCTCTAAGGTAATCCAGTGGAGAGAGGTGGACAGTGGGTGGGGATATATATGAAACAAGATTGGCTGTGTGTTGATTATTGTTGAAACTGGGTAATACGTACATGGGAGTTCATTAAACTCTTCACTTTACTTTTGTACATGTTTAAAAATTTCCATTAAAAAAAAAGTACTCCCAGGATGGTTGTGCCCCTGGAGCACCTGACAGAAGCAAATGTGAAATCTGTGGAGGGACATGACCTCAGCTCAGCCCCACGCATTCCCCCAGATGAAGTCCTGCTGACAGAAATCACCTTCAGAAGGTACAGAGCACCATAAGTGAGAGCAAGCAGATGGAGTACATACCAGAATTAGACCCCTCACAACTTTGGGTAATGGTAATATTGGAAACCATAAAGTCAATATGCTCCAATGAATTAGAAACAAAAAGGAATGGAAAACATGAAGAAGAATAAGACCAAAAAAAAAAAAAAAAACCTGGGGAAATTTGGAAACCAATTAATTAGAATTTCTAGAAATAAAAAGTATAGTTCTTAAATTTTAAAACTCAAATGACTAGGTTAGACAACTAGTTAGACTTAACCTTAAGAGAAAATTAGTACATTGGAAAGTAAATCTGAAGAATTTAGAGAACAATGTTGCAAGATAAAGATGCATCATGAGGAAATTAAAAGACATGGAGAAGAAATGTGAAAATTCCAGCCTACGTCTCATAGGAGTTCCAGAGAAATTGAGAAGAGGCAATACTTTGAAGTGGAGTATTTGAGAATTTTCTAGAATTGACAAAAAAACCTAAAATTCAGGATGCACAGTGAGTCCCATCTGAATAAAGAATACTAAATACAAGAATGGAAATAGATTATAACTTCCAAATTAGTAGAGGAGGAAAAAACAATATAGAAAACTCAATAAGTCAAGAAAGGAGGTGGGAAAACCCCAGGAAAATCAGGTTAAATACCATAAAATAATATGGTAGAAATCAAATATACCAGTAATTACAATAAGTGTAAATGTACTTAATAGTTATTACAGGGATTGTCAGGTTGGATTAAAAATAAAATCCATCTATGTGCTAGGCAAGTGCTTAATAGAAGAAAGATGAGTACTGGCTTCATTTTAGATAAAATACACTTTAAGACAAGAATTATTATTAGAGATAAAGAGGGTCACTCTAAACTTGTTGCGTATAATAACAAAGCTGTGAAATACAGAGGACAAAAACTGACATATCTGCAAGCGGAAATCAACAAAACCACAATTGTGGTGGGTGATTTTAAGACAAGTCTGTTGACAGAAGATAGATCAAGCAGATAAAATATCAGATTTGAATAACACAATTAAAACACTTGATTTAGTGGATGCATAGAACTCTCCCACCCTCATTACAGAATACTTGTGTTATGCAAGGCCTCATAAAACATTTACAAAGGCTCAAAATGTTCGAAGCCCTAAACCAAGTTCTCAACAAAATTTTAAAAACTGGGCATAGAAAAACCACATTCTCTCGTCACAATCCAGTTAGATTGAAGATTTGTAACAGCAATACCCCTCCTTCCGTTTAGAAATGAAGCTGGAATGGTTTACTCTCCCCATACAACCACTCCCAATTTAAATATGCTCATGTGAACTTCTATTTTTAGATTAACAGTAGATCCCAGAGTGAGTGTTATAAAATACTAAATTGTCCTATTTGGAACCGGCCAAAGATGTCAGTTGTAGCTTTTCGTGGCTGTTTTCTAGCACACAGGATAACGCCTGCCACAGAGCAATAAAGCAGTAACACAGCACTTCTCAGACGAAGGAATGCCATTGTCACATATTTGCCTATTGTTTCTGTACATATTTAAGAGTCTGGGGTATACATTCCCATTAAATCGAACTACAAATATAGCAGAATAAATGGCTACAGAACACTAAACAATTAAATGTACCTGAATTGTCAGATATTAAATTTGCTGAATCATTTGTTCTTTCAGCTATTAAAATAGAATTTAAAAGAATTAGAAGTTAAAGAATTAAAAGTTTCAAGCCTTATTGAATGCTTGCTATGTACAAGGCACACACGTAGACATGGGGGTGAAGTAGGGTGTTGTGCAAGATTCTTTCCTGGCCCTCAAGACATTGATGGTTTATCTTACCTGAAATTTCAAATTATGATACTCGGTCTGAGGTGTTCTGAGGGGGAATGCCTATATGTAATCATGCAAAGAACAACTCTGAAGTGGTATGAAGTGCTGAATAGGGAACATGAAGAATTTGGTAGTTTCAACATTTCATGTTAAATAGTTACTTTAGTTTGAACTAAAGTGAGATCCTTAGAAAAACTTAATGTTTTTTACAGTTTGGAGTCTAGGTTTTGAATGCTGGGGCAGGAGTGTAGGAGATGTTGAGAACAGAACTGGTGTTTGTCAGAAAAGTAAGTGTAGACACATTTTAAACTGTGGTTAATCAGTATTAGCTTGTGTTTGCTTAGAAGGAGTACGTAAGCCTCTGCAGAGAGGAAAGTTTCACTTTGAACCCTCATCAGTGTTGGTCATGCCGCTGTCTGCCCCCCGCATGCTGGCCTTCTGCCGGATAAAAGGAGAGGGACCAGAAAACTAGCAGAGATGCTCTCAGCAGCAGCAGGAGCGTTGTCCAAGAAAAGGGGAGAAATGCTGCTTTGATGCGTTGAGGTGAGCTACACACACAGAATGTACAAAATGGACCACACACCAGCTGATAAGGTGTCCTTACCCTAAGAAATTTCAGTTTCAGTCCTGCGCTTTCTTTTTGTGTTCTGAGTGTTTTATCTGATTATAACTTGGAAATCCTTACCGCTCAAAAATCTCCCGTCCCGACTCCCCGCAGGCTTCCACAGGGCAGACTACTTGCCTTTGTTACAGAGCCCTTCGTTCACCCTTGTCATTCTCACTTACCTCTCTACAGATGAACAGTATAGCTGTGTGACTTGGGGCAAGTTCATCTCTCTGTGTTTCTTTGCTGTTAAATATAAACTGTTTCAGCCTCTTAGAGTTGTTGTGAGGATTAAATGAGAGAATTCCTAGCACTGAGTAAGCGCTTGGTAAATAATAGCTCTGGTTATCATTCTCTCTCCTCAACCAGGCTGAGGTCATAGAGGTCAGTGCTTACATCTTGTTCTTTGTATCTTCCTGAAGTACTTATCTGCATTGGCCCAGAATCAATAAAAAATGTTTAATATTGTTGCCTGATTTCTTGAGTCTTGGTGGTGTGTATAAGGCAGCTGTTTTCACACTGGGTTTTCTTGGAGTTTGATTGGAGTTTAGTGGAGGTGCTTTTGGAGTCCAAAAATATTTTATTCAAATTTAACCTGTAAATTTTAACTATTTTAAAAACTAAAAAAAAAAATCTAATTTGTGTTATAAAACAAAACATTAAGTAGTAAAGGCTCTTAGCGTGTTAACATACTGCCAAGTTAATTCATTTTCGTGCTTTTCCTATCATCTCTGTTTAATTAATTGAAGGTTATCCTAACATTGAAGGCTAAACTGTTAAAAATAAAAACAAACTACAAAACAAGAACTTGCTGCCATTTGCAAATATTTTTCTCCATAAATTTTAATAGTTTACAACCAAAACAAAACATACAAAAAAATAGAATTCTGTAGTGGATATAGGAATGCAGCTGACATACCTAACTGCTGCTCTCATGGCTTTGCATTAATCAGAAGAGCCTTATTCCCATTGATTGACCTTCTAGTAAATTCATTTTATAAATTTAAATAAAAAATACATCTGTTCTAATTAAATGTGGATCTGTGTATAACAGCTCAGGCATTTGTGTGTTGGTTTGGTGAGCGTTTCTTGGCACTGTCATGTAGTACATGTTACGCTATCGGCTAAGGATCCAAGTCTGACAGGCTACAACTGACAGCCTTTGGCTAAACGCAGACCTATTGGGTTTCCACATAATTGTGTGTTTAGAAGGATAAAGGCTTTATTGCTTTCAGAGTCCTTTGAGACCACTGACTTGTGAAGTGTCCTGCCTCCTCCAGTTGGTTGACCACTATGCTTGCTTTTGCAGAGGTCCAGCTGGAGTACGTGCCCAAGCCCTGGACAGAGGTGGAAATCTGGTGGAAGACTTTGTGTTTGATGGAGGTATTGGGGACATTGGAAATCGCATTCTTCATGTGAGAAATGCACCTTCCCCTGCTGCCACTTCTTCCCTGGCAATTTCTGGAATGATTGCAGATGAAGTGCAACAGAGATTTAAATTGTAAATAGTGGAAGGAGCTAGGTATGCATTTTAATATCCACATTCAGCAACAAGAATGTACCAATTGCATTCTTTAATTTTAAGAAAAATGCTTTGAAAATATCAATTTTAGGTATCTCATTTAGATGACCACTGAATATTAAAATGATGTAACATAGAAATAATAACTTTTAGGGCCGGCCCCGTGGCTTAGCGGTTATGTGCGCACGCCTCGCTGCTGGCGGCCGGGGTTCGGATCCCGGGCGCGCACCAAGGTACCACTTCTCCGGCCATGCGGAGGCCGCGTCCCACATACAGCAACTACAAGGATGTGCAACTATGACATACGACTGTCTACTGGGGCTTTGGGGGGAAAAATAAATAAATAAATAAAATTATAAAAAAAAAAAAAAAAGAATAACTTTTTAAAGTCCATGCTCTTTCACGTTGTGAATAAAGAGGAAAGGTACAGTTGTGTCTCTCCTGAATCCCTGACTGTTAAAGACCTGTTCTTGCCAACAGTGATCTAGAGATTTGGCTCTTGTAGAATTTCTGGGAACAAGGGCAGAAAAAATTGATTATTCCCTTAACTTTTTGGCTTTATAATATCTAAGCTTTTTTGTCTCTCCTAAAAAAGAAAATATAGTATTTGTAGATTGCAAACCTTTTAATTTTGAAGAGTTAGAAAAGCTCACGTTATTTAGAGCAACAATATTTGTATTTGGGAATTTAAAATTCTTGATTTTAAGAAAATACATGAAATCTACTGTTTTTAAGTAGTTTGAATAAGATTCTATCTTGGCTATAATATTTGTAAGAAATAACTTTGCAAAAGAAACATAAGCCTTTGTGATTCCCAGCCTCTCTGTAACTGACTTGGTGTGGAGCCATCACTAAATCTAAGCAGCATTTGACTAAGAGTGGTTGTTGCCCACTCTTCAGTCTTCTATGGCTGAGAAACTAAAAGAACTTACAACTGATAGGTTTTTATGAGAACAGTTTTCGAGTCCTAACACTGGTATACAGAACTCTGTAATTTTAAAAATTATTTACCTCATATTTCTGTTCTTCAGTTACACCAAGGTTCTTAGATGTTAGCCGAGATCACTAACGATTCATGCCTACTTGGTTTTTCAGGGATCTTATAAACTTTTATGAGGATATTTCTTCATTTTTGGGAAATACCTAACTTTGAGGCATTCACTTTTGTAAACCGCAAAGTTGCCTTAACATTCATGTGTACTTCATGAATATTTTGCACTGTTGCCCAGTGCCATCCTGTGTACTGTACATATGTATGTGGTATCTGTTGAAATGATTCTTGCAATTCAGAAAGTTGGAAAATAGAAATATAAATGAAAATATGGCAGCCTACTGATTGGCGACACCTTTATTACAGAACCACCTCTTAGGTGAGACATTTTCATCCATGCCCTCACACATGCTCTCCCAGGATCAGTCTTCCACTCTTCATTTTTTTCCTTCCTCTTCTCTCTCCAAAGCTGTGTGATGGATGAGTTAGAAGGATGTGCATTTTGGTTGATAGGAAAAACTTTTCTGTTTCCTTCCTTGTCTCTTCACTCCAAGCCTTGGTGATTACACTGATTGAGCTACCTCATCCATTAATTTGAAAGGCTACCCATCATCAGCTCATATTCAAGAAGCAGCCCAACCCAGTAAATGGACGAGGCAGATAGTCAACACTTGGGATGAGCGCGCTGGAAGCATTCAGAAACCACTCACAGAAGACACAGCCCTAATGGTTCTTCTTAACAACTGATTCCTCCAAGAAATGGACATACAGCTTATTTGTCTGTTCCGTTCCAAGACTATTAAGAGATGAGAAATATTACAGTTCTCTATTTCATCAACAGTAAGATTGCATATACGCTAAGCTGTGAAAGACTGAAATTACAAAAATAACTGTCTTAACTAAAGCAGCCCTCATTCCATTTGGGTCTGTACTATACCTCCAAAAAATACAAGTGAAAAAATTATTGAAAGTGTTTTGAATGTGTAGGTTATGCTGTTTGTAAAGTATTTTATATTTATGTCAATAGGGTTTTGTTGTCTAATACTGATATAATATTTAAAAGTTTTGTGTATTTCTGAGAGAAGAAAATGTATATTAAAAATATTTTAATGAGCCGTAGTGTTGTGAACATAATTTTTAGTTTCATAAAAACTCTGATTCACATAAATTTTTTCTGTCAAACATGAACTACCACAGCTTTAGATAGCAGCCAATCTTAAAAAAATTTTAAAACTTCAGTATTTGTGTGTAATATAACGAGGTAGAGTAGTTTACATTTCGGGTAAAAAGTAGAGCACTTCCCCACTTACATTTAAAAACGGCTTTCCATCTGGTAGTGGTGGCAACATCTGGCTGACCTCAGTTTCATCTGCATACCCCAGAGCACCAGGGAATATTATTTCTGTTACATAGCAGAATGTATATAACATATAAAAATAGGGCGTTTTGGGGGGCAAGGGGTCCAATAAATAAATCAATCTTTTGGTATTTCATAAAAAGTTATAGTTCCTCTTGGGAAGACATTTTTGGTATGCTATCTCTTACAGGGGGTCGGGCTACTGGCATGAGCCTCCCATAAAGGTTATAGGGCAAAATAATCGTCTGAGTGCCTGCTGCACTTCATTCCGGCAGGTGGACTGTGAGAGGACCCGAGTTAGCTACAGCAAACGAACCATGAGAGTGACAACAACATTTATTGTTTCCTGTGGTGTTGCTTTGGTTTGCTACTGACTGGCAGCACTTGTAGCTTTAAATAAATTGAGGAAGTAAGAGAGAGTAAATGGGAGAAATGTTGAGCAAGTCCTTCTTGAAAATTTTTTTCAGTGGGAGAATATTTGTGGTACAATTTCAACTGCTTATTAAAATTTGAGATGTGCTTGGGTCATTCAAGTTATCTCCCAGAAGCCATTCTAAATTCTACAAAGACAAGTAAAATTACTGTCTATTGAATTACTAATATGATAGCACATTGATTTTAAATCAAGTTTATAACTGAGCTTTTTGGTATAGATACATAGGCCTTACAGTATCAGTGTGTTTAATACTTCGATTTTTTTTTTTTGTGAGGAAGACTCAGCCCTGTGCTAACATCTGCCAATCCTCCTCTTTTTTTGCTGAGGAAGTCTGGCCCTGGGCTAACACCTGTGCCCGTCTTCCTCCACTTTATATGGGACGCCGCCACAGCATGGCTTACCAAGCAGTGCGTCGGTGTGCGCCCGGGATCCGATCTGGCGAACGCCGGGCTGCCGCAGTGGAGTGCTCGCACTTAACCGCTTGCGCCACTGGGCTGGCCCCTTAATACTTCCATTTTTTAACACTTGAAGCAAGTGTTAATAATGAGGTTGGAATTTTTTCATTTAAAAAATGGGCTTTTTAATTAATGTTTTTGAATAAGTACAGTATTCATATGGTTGAAATTCAAAAGTCACAAAAAGGTACACAGTGAGAAGTTTCACTTTCCCTCCAGCCACCCAGTTCTCATCTCCAAGGCAACAAAAATTATCAGTATCTTGTGCAGACTGGCAGAGATGTCATATTGATATATAATAAAACACTGCCTCCATTTTATTTTACACAGTGGTAGCATACTCTGCATACTATATTATACATCCTGCTCTTTCACTCTGCAGTGTATCTTTGAGAATGTTCCACAGTGGCCTGGTTCTTTTTAAATGACTTTAGAGGTTTCATTCTATAGATTTACTGTTATTTGTTGAACCAGTCCCCTATTCTTGCTGATGATTATTTGAATTGTTTATTTCTAGGGTGTTTTTTGTTTTGTTTTTGCTGTAACAAACAATACTGCAAAGAATAACCTTGTGTCTGAGTTATTTCACATATGAGCGGGTATACCTCTAGGACATATTCTGAGAATTTGCTGGGTCAAAGGGCGTGTGCCTTTGCAACTTTGATAGCTGTTGTCCAGCTGCCCTTGATGGAGTCTGAACCATTGACACTCTCACCAATAATAAACCAGGGTACCTGTTTCCCCATACTCTCATCAGCATAGTGTATAATCAAACTTTTTCATCTGTGCTACTCTAATAGGTGAAAAATAACTCAGTGTAATTTAAATTTGCATTTTTCTTAATATGAGTGAAGTTGAGCATCTTTAATATGTTTGAGACATTTATATTTCCTTTTCTGTGAACTGTCTTCATATCCTTTATCCTTTTTTTTTCTTGCTGAGTTTTAGTCATTAATTGGTAGGAGCTCTTTTAGATATTAGGGAAATTAACTCTTTAGGAAGTGAATTGCAGATATTTTTTCCAGTTTGTCATTTGCTTTTTGGCTTAGGTTGTGTTGGTTTTTTTGCCATACATTTTTAAAAATAGAATTTATCAATCTTCCAGATTTTATATCATAGTAGAAAGATCTTTTATACTCTGAAGTTATAAACAAATTATTTTATGGTTCTATTTTTTACATTTCAGTCTTTGACACATCTGGAATTTATCCTAGTGTAGAGTGGGGTATGGATCCAATGTTTTTTTCTAGATGGCCCATTTGTCTGGTTGGGAACTTTTTACTGGTGTCATTCTTGGCTTGCCCTCCACATGCACACGGATCACATTTCTGTTTGCCTAGCCCACAGATCACAACTCAGATGCCTGTAGAGACTAGGCAGGTTACATAAAAGCGTGAAGAGTGCCAGTGGGGAGTAAAGCCAACTGGAAATGGGATGGCATTCTTTTCTAAAGAGGGCAGCCACTGCCCACCGCCTGCTGATTCCTCCCTTGCAGGAACGCGGCAGGGCCCAGGGTTGCCAAATCTTTGTCAAGAGAAGCTGGAAATCCAGATTTTTATGGGAAATCTCTTGATTTTAAAATATTAACAATTTAAAAAATTTAAACATAGCCTTGGCTAAACAAAATCTATCTTCAGGACAGATTTGGATCAGAGAAGGTTTCCAGTATCCATGGCGAAGAATGAAACTCCCCACTAACAACTTTACTCTCCTATAAGAAAATATAGTCAGAGTCTAGAAGTTTGACAGCCTAGTAGTCTGTAGCTGGAGTTCTGGAAGAGGAGAGAAAAGTAAAGACAGTCTATGTAAGCCAAAGTCTTTGCCCTCACTGATGGAAAAATTAATTGGAGAAATGCAAGCATTTCACTATCCTACCTTTTATCCAAGTACATGGGAATGTAGATGTGGCCAT